GCTATAGTCATCTATGTTAACTTTAAATAAAATGATAAATCGGTGATCGTGGAACACAGAATAGTTCTTACATTGGTTCATAAAGATCCATAAAGTGTCATGCTTCTAATAGTATTCAGAGATGGCAAGTTTGAACATTAAATTCTTCCCTAGAATGAGTGGTAAGCCAAGTTAGTAGTGAGAATGAACAAACTTTATTTTGCTGTCCCTGGTTTTATTATTAAAGTCTGTCAAGTTACACTCTGTTCTGTTTCTGCAGAACTCTGGTGATAGTACAGAATGAGCACATCAATTAAATATGAAATATCAAGACAAATACATGAAGAAAATATCTAGCATTCAGAGAAACTTCCAAAAGCTACTCCTCAGCAGTGAAATGCCATTAAATCCTTTAGGAACTCATTAATAGATTAGCATTTGGAAGACTAATTACAGTGAGAGTTGAATTCAAATTAAATAAAAATAAAAAGACAAATTATATACTACATAATTCTATTGAATGCTTGATGAGAATCAATATAATAAAATATTAGAGGCAACAAGTCAACATTGAGGCGGCTGTTATTAAAAGGCAACGAACACACGTGCACATAAATATAACCACACGGTAGAGATATTTAATACACGTATATTAATAATTCATAAATTCTGTATATACTACTATATTTTCAAGGATGAAAGGACTATATTAAGATGAAATAAGTGATCTACATGAAAATGGTCCGAGTTGATACTTTAGTGCCAATAAACTAAATCCTAAACCAAATTGACTGTGTTAAACCTTGTAAAAAACGGAATTTTTAAGCATTGCCCCCACTCTTTATTAAGATTCAAATGTACTTTCAAATGATTTAATATAGTGAGCATGTCTTTTAATGATTTGTGATATATATCAAAAGAAAAGGAAATGGTATGATAGAGGAGGGGTAGTGTGCACTAATAACATTTTCTATAATAACTCTTTTTAGGCATAATCCTTGAACTGTATAAGTACATGTAAGAGTTAATGTTAGAGTTATTATTGAAGATAATTTTACTCATTGCAGGGAGGGATTTGGTCATGTGTTAGAATATATCAATTTTGGAAATATCTCCCCTTTGCGATTTTGAATCTGAAGACACTTCTACAGTGTTTCAGAGGAGCTACAGCTATTTTTGATGGGGTGGGAATGAAAGACATGAAGAGTAACAGGGTTGTAAAAGTCATAAATGCCCCATAAAATGAAGTCATGAATAAGTAAAAATGATTGGGGTTTTAGATTTGTAATTTTCCTTTTTAAATGCCCTTATTGATTTGTTACAAATACTGTTAACCCTGTATTTGGCAAATGGTGAGGACATTATCACTTGTGTTCTCATTTGTAATAAAATTAGATTAACTTGCTGTGAAATTTTATCTAGGCTGAGACACAACAGTAGCCACCTAATGAACCACAGCACATTGCAGTTAAGTAGCTAAATAGATGCATACTGATTACAGGGCTGAAAAATGGGTCTGTTTACTTGCAAAGAATAAATTGTTCATAGAACTATTCATTATTTTAGGAGATATTAAACATTCCAGTTCCACATAGATTTTTTAAAAAAATCCTACCTAATTCTTAACCAGTACAAGACACCTGATTCATCTAACGTGGTTTACATGGTGAAAAAAGTCTGACTTCTGTGCTGTCTTACGAAAATAATAATGAACCTAACCTTGATTGAATTTGGAAAGTGCAAGCCATGAAATCTTACAGCAGAAATATTGCATCTTGCAAAATGTTACTGTCACTCTTAATATTCACTCTCTAAATCATGTTCTCACAGTTAGCTTATTGTTTCACATAACATGCTGTTGAAATATCAAAGGAAGAGTGTAAACTATTTTGAGTTCATATTGTTTTACCACATGTTAATTTTAAACGTGTTGGGGGAATCTCTTATTACAGCAGTGTATTTTTTCTCATTATTCATAGCCTTTTCTATTATTTATGTAGATGTCCTTTCATTTTTTTATTCAGAATGAACTTTCATTTTTTATTAGGCAGAATGTGCAAGACCAAGTATTGTCAGTTGGATTCTCTTGCTTTTCCAAACCATCAACTGTATCAATCACTCAAAATTTTTTCATTTTTATTATGGTAGCATGTATTGCTGTATGTGTGATTCCTGTTTGCCACTACACAGTGATTTTTGTGTCTTCAATTCTGTTTTATCACAGTAACTGCCAAACTTTGTCCCTGTCCATTCTTTCAAAGGTCAATCAGACTTAAATACAGTTCATTGAATTACACATTTTTTAGCAAATTTCCAGTGTTAGAATTCAAAGACAAATACTGAATGCCCTATACTTTATGCACATATTTTGGCACAGAACGAATGAGACACAACTTAAATAAAAGACAAAAATAATTTGACCTCATATAGGAAATTCCTTTTATTGATGTATGTGTGTGCACACATTTAGAGAACTATTTAGAGAACATGTTTTAAAACATTACAGTTTAGGTTGAATTTTACAACTGATTACTAGTGTTTGCAAAAAGTGAAAGGATGTGGTATGAGGATTAAATAGATCTTGCTGTCCATCCCCATTACCATCTCTCCAAAATATGAGTAGAATTATTGAGGGAAAAAAATCTTGATACCTTTCTTCTCTTTTGCTTGTGCATTTCTTTTGATTTTGCCTTGCATACATTGTGTGACAACTAGATATTTTCCTGCATACTAAATATAAATGAAATGTATCAGTTTACTACTCTGTTTTAAAACAATGTTTTTAAGGGACAACATCTATAAAGTCCTTAAAATGTAATATAAATTAAAAATTATCAGTATTTAATTAGCATATACTACTATAGCTAATAAAAATATACTATTCATTTCAGTAAAGCTATTAAATGCTAATAAAATGTTATATAATAATGTAAAACACCATTTAAAAATGAATATATTACATCGATTACTATATTAGTGTTCTATTGCTGTTATAACAAATTACCACAAATTTCACGGCTTAAAACAATTCAAATTTAGTATCTTAGAGTTCTGTGGGTCAGGAGTCAGACATGGATCTCATGGGGCTAAAAGCAAGGTGCGGGCAAGGCTGCATTCCTTTCTGTAGGTTTCTGGGAAGAATCTGTTTCTCTGCATTTTTAAGCTTCTAAAGACCACTCACATTTCTTGGCTCATGGCCCTCTTCCTCCATCTTCAAAGTCATCACTGTTGCATCTCTCTGACCATTTTTCTTCAGTCATAACTCCCTCCGATACTCCTTTTCTGCCTTTGTTTTCCACTTTTAAAAGCTCCTGTATGAGGGCAGGTGGGGATAAAAAAAAAGAACCCTTGTGATCAGATTTGGCCCACCAAGATAATCCAGTATAATCTCCCTATGTCATATTTCTCAGTCTCATATCTCCAAAGTCCCTTTGGCCATGTACAGGCAAGAAATTCATAGGTTTCAGTGATTCAGATGTGGATTAGAGATGACATCTGAAGCCTGCCACAATGGCAGGCATTGAAATATGTTAACTTTTACTAATAAAATAATAACTTTTAACTCTCTAGCTAATACTTTTGCATTAAACAAACACAGGTTTTCTTTGGGTGATCTAAAAATTTTGGGCTTCCCATGCAAAATCAATGTGAAAATGTACAAGCACTTATTTGACAAACTAATTCTTTTAATGTTATGATGATTAGAATACTGATGTGATTACAGGTAATTAGACAGAACATTTAAGAAATTTATTATGGATGAATTAAATATTTTATAGAACATTCTGTCCCAGCATGTCTATCACCCAGTCACATTTATTGCAGATATGCATAAACACTGCAATTTGTTTCTTTTATTGATCAAAATTTTGGGCTTCCCATGCAAAATCAATGTGAAAATGTACAAGCACTTATTTGACAAACTAATTCTTTTAATGTTATGATGATTAGAATACTG